ACTCTACATCCAAAAATGATGTATGACATCAAAGAGCAGAGGAAGCCTAATCAATTTTGTGGCCTGTTGAAAAGAGAGCTCTCTCAGACACTGAACAGGCCTTCAGAGATCAAAGGTCTTTTCACTTACTAAGCCCTTCCTTAATTTTGGTGACTTGAGTTACCTTGCTGGGACCAAGATGCTCACCTTTTCAGAAAGCTACAAATTAGTTAACTGAATACGTAGTGTTAATGCATCTCCCAAAACAGAAATATTTAGGCTAAATAATAAAATATTGTGGCCCCACAAGTATAATGTGTGAGGGTTACATTTTTTTCACATTCTTATGCTCCTTTGTTGAGAGTTACCTAATTTTATCCTCAGTATGCACCATGCACTATAGCAAAACACAGATAAACACTCTGAGAATGCAACCAGTCAACATATGGAGCCATGATCTGTTGTGGCAGAACTTAGTAGATTAAGCCTGACTCGGTCTCCTAGATACAGACAAGAAAAAGGAGTACTGTAACTTTTACCCAAATGAAGCACAGCACCAGCATTTCTGAATGGAATGATTTTGGTTCAGATTACTTCACCTGTGATTTTTCATCTAACTGTAAAATTGGGGTGGGAGTTTCTAAAGTAAGTAAGTATTTTCTATTCAGGCACAGTGACCATTTTTCGTTTGTGAGTAATTTAGCACAACTCTCATTTCTGGTACTTTGGCTGGTGTCATAAGATAAAAACTTAGTAAGGGCAAAGCCTGAAGAGTAATTTAAAATTTAGCATAGCAAATTCATTCACTGTTGATCAAAGCAGTAAACACATAAACCCCAATGGATCATACTTAGATATGTCTTACAGTTCACTATGGCATCACAAGTAGACAGTTTAGGACAGTCACACAGTTTGGGATAGTACTCTGTTTTTCACATTAGATCTTGAATTCAGACAGTCTAGATGTGAACAGATTGGCTTCAATTTCATTAATTACCTTATGAAGAAGCTCTAACTTTATTCTTTCAGCCTCAAATTCCTCCAGACGCTGCACCCTTCTTGCATGTTCCTCTTCATTCTGTTTTTCCTGTGCTTCCCTCTCAGCTTTCCACTTTTTCCTCTTCTCATCTTCAAGCTCCTTTTGTCTTTTCTCCCACTGCTCAAATTCTTGTCTACACTTTTCTTCTACTTCACGATGAGTAAGACTTATGCTCATTTCAACATCAGCTACGAATTTGTAATCAACCAAGCAAACCTTTTATTTAATTTTCTAATAAGCACTGGGGGACATTAAACAGTCTTAAAGTATTGACAAGAAAAGGATTCTGTGCTGATACAACCAGCAATATATATCCCCAAGGAAATGAGAACTATAACGTGAGTGTCTTCTATCAGAGATGTCTTATTATCATGACGCACATTTACTGACTCTGTTTATTCTACCAATGTATATTTCAGGATTACCCTTTGGTGTCAGGATGAATGTCTCTTGTGGCTATCAGCAGGGGTTTTATAACTGATGTACTCCACCCCAAAACACATAAAGGCCATGGCAAAAGGAAACACTCCCAGACAATGTGACTACAAAAAAATAAAAGAAGTTGTGGCCAAAGCACAACCTGCTTAGTGCCTCCAATCTGGCTTCCATTTGTATTCATAATTCTTTAAAGCATTTTTGGGTAGTATATTTTGAACCAAATTTCTATCAAGACATTAAAGACTAGGATAATTTTGTGATCCTGAAATGCGATATAAGCACACGCATTTGCTCATGTCCAGTTCATGAAGTATCAGAATCTATTGCATACAGTAACATGTGAGTCTTTAAAAAGAATGTTATGATACTCATGAAAACAGAAAAGCAGGAAGTAGTGATATGAGGCTAAAGACCAACTCAACCGAATGACTAACACGTTTGCTTACCTGTAACAAAATGGTCATCAGTGACCACTTCATCACTGGTGGGCTGACTATTATAACTAGGTGTTGCAGCAATCTGCAAGTCTTCATTTTCAATTTCAAATAGTACCTAATATAGTTTAATATGGTCATTAAGAAACAAAATGCAAAAGCAGAATGTTATAAAAATCTTCCAGAACAAGGATAAGCTTTTCATCATATGACAAATACAATACTACAAAACTTACTGCTGACTGGAATCCTTACAACATCGAATAAAGCAAATGTATCAGTCAAAACAGTTTTCCGGAGTAATAAATATTTGAGCATTTCCCAAAATACATAACATTTCTATGTGTTTTTTACATCGCCTATGTGTATGTTACATTTTGACTTGGAAAAATGAATGTTCTGCATTTGGGATTTTTTTTTACTTTCTGTGGAGCTAAGCACTATATTTATGCATTAATACTGTTATGCACATAGGGGAAGAACTAGTTACAGAGTAAATTTTTAAGTCATCTATTTGAAAATAATGCTATTGGCAAAAAGGTTTGCTGTATTTCTTTCACTGTTCTTCATTGGCAAGAAGTAACCTATTCCTGCTCATTTATCACCTGCTCATCACATGCTTGGGGCATATATTAATATTTGTAATGCAGCTGAAGTCACATAAAGTAATTGTGTGTTCTGAACAATGGTCTTCTGAGAACGAAAAGTCATGTTTGTAAAAGTGCTCACTAATAAAAGGCAGGTGACAAATTAAAAGTGATTAAATTAAATACAGGTTTATGTTTTTCTAAGAACTTCAGCAAGTTATTCAGTCAAATTCTATAAAAGTATAAAAGAACCCAGTTTTACAACTCTTGATTTGTCTTTGAAAGTTACAGACATTATTATGTTCACATTTCTATAAAATAATGGAATATATTAGGAGCAAGATTAATAGTAACACATCCTCTTGATCATCATAAAAAGAATAAGATTAGAGAAGTTTAAAGTGTTATACTACTGAGATAATATCTGCAAATAATTAAAAATAAAGGATTATTCAGTTTTGTTTAATTTTGTTGATTTTTGTCTCAGCATCTCAACTACTGATACAGAGAATTTATTCCAAATTTTAAAACTTGTAGACATGGTTTATTACAGCTGATGCCCCAGTTCTAAAGAATGGCATATACAAACTCATCTTAATACCTTATGGATAGTCTGACAGAAACAAAAATGAACACTTCTATAGGTCTCCTTAGGAGGCCAACAAAGCAAGTGTAAGTTATCTAGATTACTTAATAGAATTTTGTTCACTATAAATATTGTTTAAATAGAGACTACCCTTTTTTTAAATTGTTCTGGTTCTTCATTATATTCAGAAGCCGATTCTGCCAAGTAATCTGACGCATGGCAGGAAACTACTCCATAAATGTTACCTAAAGAAGAAATAAATATATAATTTAATACAGAGAGAAAAACCCTTACCAGTACTCCGTTCTGCTCTATACTGCTTAGCGACTACACTTCTTTAAACTAAAATAAAGCATTTTTTTCCTTTAAAACTCTTAACACCCCCTGCCATTTTTACTCAATTAAATATGGGAGTCATTTATCTACATTAAAAGCAGCAAATATGTGCAACTGGAACACACACAACAATAATGTAAGAATCCAGCAATAGCAAATATCAGAGAGAATTCCACAGCATAGAACACAGCAGAACATTTTGGTGTAGAATCAGATGAATTTTTAGAAAAATCCAATTCATACTCAGATATTAATCCTAGAAGACAGCATTGCATGATTTTATTACTAGAGATTTTCAGCATGCATTCAGAAGCTGATCCAATAGGTTTCACTGCTTGCTCTACTTAGAAGTTTGGAGTGTTTTAGTGATGATTGTTAGTCTAACTTCCACTGGCAATACAAGGTTCATAAATATTTTAACTGTGATCCCTGCTTACTTGTAGTTTCTTCATCTTCTGAGTCTTGCAGTATAAGCTTTTCAGCATCTTGATTTCTGCTCTTTATAAAGTTTAAATAGGAGAGAACTGATTCTGGCAAGTCATCTGAAATCTAGAAAAACATGACATTTGACATAAATTCTACATTTCATCTCACAGCCATGACCAGCGGTAAATACTTGACATGCAAGAATAAAGACTCATTTTGGCTTCACCTATAAAGCACTAATGGAGATTTAGCAGCAATTGCTACCAAAATTGTTCCCAATTCCTACACTCTTTGCATTGTCTTATCACCCACAGAATAATTAATAATTCTAATTTTTAATTACATTCTAATTAAATTTTCATTGGAACACATTTTAGTAACTATAGTTATAGTTACTATAGTAATTCCACTATCTTCAGAAACATGTTTCAATTAACATTTTCTTTATAATTGTGTTGGACCAAGAAATTAAGAAAAAGGCTAAGACAAAAATTAACTAATACCTATGATGCACAGGATCTTTTTCTTAAAAGTGTTCAGACTCTTTCAAAAATAAATTAATTTAAATTTACTAATGTTTAAAGTATGCATGTAAATCAGATGCTTCAACTTTCTTTACTACATAGATACTTTCTATTCAAAAGACTGTCTTTTACTGCAAGGATTTGGGAAAATGGACTGCTTTCTCTCAGATGTGTAAATTGCAGTAAATGTTCCTGGCATTCAGCATGTGAGTGCACAAATAATTAACACAGATACCTTTGCCTATCTTTATGTCATATCAAACATATGATTCATGGCCATATATGACCAATATCATATACCCCAATATCCTATAGACCAAGCCTTTTGCTACAAGTCTTAAAGATTAAAATAACTGAAAAGGACCCAAATAACTGATTGGATTTCAGAGGAAAATCTTTCCCCAAAATAAAAAGTCATCCAAAAAAGAGGACTTGAAGCACCAATTTATATTAAATTAATATCAGGAAGGCTTCAAACAAAAGACAGTCTCTTTTAAGATTTAAATACTGATTTAAATGAAGAATCATTGGCTTATTCATCCAGATTTAATCTACCTCATTAGCTTTAATAAAATCTTCCAGCTTCAGGGGATTCTAAACCAAGTCATTATCTACGAGTCTGATCTCCTCAGTTAAGCACAATGCTGATATTCATCTCTTTTATTGTCTTGTCACCATTGCAGGTTATGTTTTTCATGAAGCATTACTACTGAGACTACTTTTCGGAAGAAATCCTCAGGTTAGGGATGTCAAGAAAAAGTTCATTTATCAGATAGGCTTTCCAATGCCCATACTACTTTCAAGAAGAAATAGAAGCAGTGTTAGCCCATTGAACACTTACTGTCTCACTGTCACTCAAAGCTTCATCTGATACCTCCGTGTCAGGATCATCCGCTTCAAAGGAAGAAACACTGATTCTGCTTAATTCGATTTCTATTTCTTTTTCAATTCTTTCAATATTTTCTGACATTTTACTTCCACAATGTCTTATCTGCTTTCAAAGCTACACAAAGAAAATATTAACTTTCAGCACTGAATGAACCAAAATAAAGAGGGTGCTCATTTAACATAACTTTATTCACAGGTGTTTATTGAACAGTTGGCTTAAAACATGAAAAGGAACAGCAGAAGTTTATTCTGAACACCTCGCTCCATACCAACAAGCAAAACGTAAGAAAAACATTAGTTTGTGATGAGAATCCCTGCAGCACAGTCTACCCCTCTAAATTTTGCAAGTGTTACCAAACTTGCATATTAAAAACCTCTGCCTGCTCTCTACTGCTTGTGGACAGTATCACTGCTATCACCTAAGCTTCACATGGGGGTTTTTCTATCATCTATCAGCAGTCCTGGTTAACAGGGGAGGTCCTGTTTTTCTATCATCTATCAGCAATCCTGGTTAACAGGGGAGGTCCCTGATGACTGGAGGCTAGCCAATGTGACAAGAAGGGCCGGAAGGAGGACCAGGGGAACTACAGGCCTGTCAGCCTGACCTCGGCGCCAGGGAGGATTATGGAGAGGTTCATATTGAGCGAACTCCACAGGCAAG